TTGTAGATGTTTATAGTATATCATTCTGCGCATATTAAAGCATAGCAACATTCAGAGTGGACATATTTTTGTAATGTTTAAACAATATGAATCATGTATTGACTGAGATGAAACATCCTGCCACTTATTGCTTTATTGAATATCATATACCTATGGTCAAAACAAAGTTCAAGAGAATGGTCTTTTCCAGAGTCTTGAAATACGGATGTATGCTTTAACTGAATTCAATAATGATGGTAATCTTTAATATTGCTTCATTGTTGCGTTACAAAACACGTAAGATGAAGTCTTAATAATTACGATCCTTACACTAAACGTTGTGTTATAATACGCTGAAAATGTATTTGTGAAACTTGTTTTAAACTTACTACTTCAAGTTTTTTTTTCTTTTTAGCGTGCCCTTTCTTGTATTAAAATCTTTTGGTCTAACAATAGCGATCACAACTGAAACAGTTTGAAAATTTGCTTATAAGCTAATGAATTTATTTCAGGATGGAAACCTGTTAGCAGTTCTAAATGTAGTCAGCTAATACACAGCATAACTGAAATCTATAGCGATTGGAATACTTTGAATCAGCTGGGTAGCCTTTCTTTTAACGACGTTTATGGCCATAATCCTAAAAGTATTTAACATGGTTCGACCAGTTCAGATAGTTTTAAATATATTTACCAAGTCAACTAAGTGAAGTAACATTTACGAAATTGAGGTTAATTCAAAACATCAGTTCAAAAATTCTAACAATTATATGTAATAAGATATCGTGAAACTAACTCTAAAGAGACTGGGACATAACCTTGAACCAGAGATAATCAACGTACTTCAATTGTTGAGTAGCTAGTCCTTTGAAAACCATGAAACACAGGCTAAAACGTGAAAACCATGAACACAACAAATCAGTATAAATCAGTAAGTATTTAGTGGCTAAACCTTGACATCTTTGAGCCATAAGGAGTAAGTATACTTCACATGCAAAGTGATTAAACTTCAAAAACTTTGAGCATTAGAAAATTAGCATACTTCAAAGGTAAAGTGACTAAACCTCAAAAACTTTGGACCATAGAGAATTAGCATACTTCAAATGTAAAGTGACTAAACCTCAATAACATTGGACCATAGAGAATTAGCATACTTCAAAGTTAAAGTGACTAAACCTCAAAAACTTTGGACCATAGAGAATTGGCATACTTCAAATGTAAAGTGACTAAACCTCAAAAACTTTGGACCATAGAGAATTAGCATACTTCAAAGTTAAAGTGACTAAACCTCAAAAACTTTGGACCATAGAGAATTAGCATACTTCAAAGTTAGTGACTAAACCTCAAAAACTTTGGACCATAGAGAATTAGCATACTTCAAATGTAAAGTGACTAAACCTCAAAAACTTTGGACCATAGAGAATTAGCATACTTCAAATGTAAAGTGACTAAACTTCAAAATTTGGACCATAGAGAATTAGCATACTTCAAATGTAAAGTGACTAACCTCAAAACTTTGGACCATAGA